TAGTGGTCCTAGGAAACAAACACATTGGTATTGTTATTTTCATTTACAATCACAGAGCTGAGTCTACTACAGTAGAATAAATTTTTATTATAATAACTGCTGTGTTCTAGGACAGTGATAACTGAATTGTTTTAAGGGACTTAAAATTTAGGCACATTTCCTTCTACCTTGAAAGGCCCAGAGATGATCATTAAAGGTTGGAGGGAAATAATAGAAGGTTATTACTGATAGAGGGCTCTCAAAGGTCTGTACAGGAATCATTCTGGCTGGAGGTGTGTGGCCCATGTGCTCTCCACCAGCTCTTAGCTTGGAGATGTTCATAGCACAGCTAGCAAGAGCACAACCTGGATGGGTGTGGCTGTCATTGGCCACTCTCCCAGGGTTGGAAACTTGCCTGATATTAGTTTGTGGCCTAAGAGGGCACTCTCCCCAGCTCCCACTTCTGTCTGGCATTATGTCCGTTGTTTCAACTCCCTGTATTAATTAGTCTTGGCTTCCTCACCTTGTGGAGTGGAACAAGGGGATCAGTGGTGAATAATGACGCAGGTGGAGCTAACCATGGCCCATGTCAGTAACAGCTTTCTAGAAATATATTGAACTTATAAAGTATTTATGGATTAAACAGCACTTTTGGATCACCTTAAGGTTAAAGCATAGCTTTGATATAGACGGACCTGGATTGGAATTCCAATTCAGCCACTCATCAGCTGCGATGGACATTTAAGCGAGTCACCTTGCCTCCCTGAGTGTCCAACTCCTAACCTGCAAAATCGGGTCTTGCTTTATAGAGCTGCTGTGAAGATTAAAATAGATAATTTAGAGACCCTGGCATGGTGATTGACACATAGGACGTGCTCAGAGGAAGCTCTAATTATTATTCAATGTGTCAACATTTTCAACAGTTTTAACTTTCACTGCTTGACACCATCCCAGTTTCTAAGCCTCTCTTTTTTTCTTAAAATTTTGATGGACAAAAGCTGGGCATTGTAGAGTTAATTTGAGCCTTCCTTATAATTAGCGATTTATTAAATGTTTCTTTGTGGTTTAAAATTAGCATTTAATTTGAATACTTACCCTACTGCTGTTTCATTTTCCCTGCGTGATTTGCACATGTCAAGAGTGGTGGATGTGAAATACTACCGACTAGGGATGTAGAACATGTGAGAGTTAATGACAGTGGATATTTTAAAAAAGCAGATGGGATCATTAAATTATTGATGATGTTTTTTGCTGCAGTGGAGTTATAAATAATACATGTTTAAAGGGCTATTTCCTTTATATTTCTTTATGGACAACTAAAGAATGTTCTCATTTTGAGTTTAAAGAGAACTGACAGTTGGAGAAAGGTCAACAAAAATGTTCATTTGTGCACTTTCTATGCCAAAAAACCCTCAAACTTCAAACAAGAGCATAGCCAATTTTGTAGAACCATATCAAATCATCTTTATTTTCAGAGCAGAATGAAGCACTGGATTTAATTTAGCAAATGGGGGTGGAGGGGAAGCTTGAAATAATTTTTATAATAAAAGTTTCGGCTAGGCGAGGTGCCTCACCCCTGTGATCCCAGCACTTTGGGAGGCCAAGGTGGGCGGATCACGAGGTCAGGAGTTTGAGACCAGCCTGGCCAACATGGTGAAACCCTGTCTGTACTAAAACAAAAATTAGCCAGGCGTGGTGGCAGGTGCCTGTAGTCCCAGCTACTCAGGAGGCTGAGGCAGGAGAATCACTTGAACCTGGGAGGTGGAGGTTGCAGTGAGCCGAGATCGCACCCCTGCACTGCAGCCTGGGATGACAGATGAGACTCCGTCTCAAAAAAAATAAAAATAAAAAGAGAAAGAAAAAAGAAAAAAAAAGTTTTGTATTAAACAGTATCAACCTCTTTTTTTTATTTCAGAAAACCTCTAAATTGAAATGAGCTTCTATAAATAAAACAGAAAAAGAAACCCAACAATTATTCCCTGAAGTCTATCAGTTTCCTAATACATTAGCTCTTTAGAATGTATTGTTTATTTATTATTATTATTATTTTTTGATGCCGGGTCTCATCTCACTCTGTTGCCCAGACTGGGGTACAGTGATACAATCACAACTCACTGCAGCCTTGGCCTCCTGGGCTCAGCGATCCTCTCATCTCAGCCTCCCAAGTAACTGGGACTACAGGCACACACCACCACACCCAGCCAAGAACATATGATTTTTTTTTTTTTTTGACGGAGTCTCACTCTGTTGCCCAGGCTGGAGTGCAGTGGCACGATCTCAGCTCACTGCTAGCTCTGCTTCCTAGGTTCACGCCATTCTCCTGCCTCAGCCTCCCAAGTAGCTGGGACTACAGGCACCCGCCACCACGCCCAGCTCATTTTTTTGTATTTTTTAGTAGAGATGGGGTTTCACCGTGTTAGCCAGGATGGTCTCAATCTCCTGACCTCGTGATCCGCCTGCCTCAGCCTCCCAGAGTGCTGTGATTACAGGTGTGAGCCACTGTGCCTGGCCCCAAGAATGTATGATTTTTTAAAAGGGATGGTATTGAGAGACTGGGAACAGATACTGGGGGAAACTATGAAACCAACTATGGTTGGTTTTTTTATGAATCTGTGAGTTCCCAGAAGTCATATGCAAAATTCTGTTTAATCTGCATATGTATATGGGGAGGTATAGGATCCATAGCGTCTTTCTTTTTTTTTTTTTTGAGACTTCCCAGAAGTCATATGCAAAATTCTGTTTAATCTGCATATGTATATGGGGAGGTATAGGATCCATAGCTTCTTTCTTTTTTTTTTTTTTTGAGACAGAGTCTCATTCTGTCACCTAGTCTGGAGTATAGTGGCGTGATCTCAGCTCACTGCAACCTTCACCTCCTGGGTTCAAGTGATTCTCCTGCCTTAGCCCTCTGAGTAGCTGGGACTACAGGTGCACACCACCATACTTGGCTAATTTTTTTGTATTTCTAGTAGAGCCAGGGTTTCACTGTGTTGGCCAGGCTGGTCTTGAACTCCTGACCGCAGGAGATCCGCCCACCTCAGCCTCCCAAAGTGCTGTGATTACAGGTGTGAGGCACCATGCCTGGCAAGATCCATAGTTTCAATCTGACTCATGGACCTGAAAAAGTTAAGATCCACTGCTGCTTCTTATTTCCCTTTAAAAATGGCTACGAGGAATGAGGGGTAATGTGAAGAGGGAAATAAGGGGCAGGAGACACCAAAGCTCTTCCAATATTAATCAGCCTCTTTCTGTCCAGGGTTGCATGTATCCCTCCACTTCCCTTTATCCTTTCCACCTCACTAAACCTTGGACAGCACTCTAAAGTTTAGACTGTTTAAACAATATAGCTGAACAAAAAATAATTGCTGGAATGTGAACATGAAGCAGTATCAGGTAACATCAGGAAACGACAGAATGTCTTTAAATTTTTGGTTTTTTAAATTTATTTTTTGAAAACATATTTATTTTCTCCCTATACATGTGTTTGCTTTTAACTTCCATCTCTGCAATTTTCTTTTCTTTTGAGATGGAGTCTCACTTTGTCACCAGGCTGGAGTGCAATGGCACGGTCTCAGCTCACTGCAACTTCCACCTCCTGGGTTCAAGCGATTCTCCTGCCTCAGCCTCCCGAGTAGCCAGGATTACAGGCGAGTGCCACCACACCCGGCTAATGTTTGTATTTTTAATAGCAACGGAGTTTCACCATGTTGGTCAGGCTGGTCTCAAACTCCTGACCTCAAGTGATCCTCAGGCCTCGGCCTCCCAAAGTGCTGGGATTACAGGCTTGAGCCACTGTACCTGGCCTGATCTTTGCAATTTTCAAAAAGAGTTTGGAGCAGGATGAAAACCTGTAAATTCAATGACAAATCTCAAGCATTTTTCTGATGATGGGGGCACAGTTTAAATGTTTTCTTTGAATGGAGAATGTATTTTCTTTATAAGCACTTAAACTGTATCCTTCTTACAAGCTGAGGCTCCAACATTTACTTAAATATTGTGTTATCTATTTGAACTGGCAAGAGAGTGAATAACAATTACATGCAAAACTGGTAGAGTTTCAATGATTTCTATTACTAAATTTAATCACATTTTTCTGATGAGGACAGACTGAGGTAGCTTCAGCGACTTGCCCAATGTCCCCCAGGTGAGTCTCAGGACCAGAGTCCAGCTCTGGGTTTGTCTGACTCCAGAGTCCATATTCTCTCTCCTGCATTCCTTGCCTCTGGGGAGCTCTTCTGCAACCTCCGGACATGAAAAGCCCCATCCTCCTGCTCTGCACCCTTGGTATAGTGGCATGCAGTTCGCCTACTCCTAGAATGGAGCAAGCACTGACTTTTGGCGTATTCCAAAGGACTCCTCCTCTAGAGTGGCTTATTTTTTTTTTTTTTTTTTTTGAGCAAGGGTCTCATTCTGTCACCCAGTCTGGAGTGCAGTGACGTGATCAAGGCTGTCTGCAGCCTTGAACTCCTGGGCTTGGGTGATCCTCCCACCTCAGCCTCTCAAGTAGGTGGAACTACAAGTGCATGCCACCATGCCCAGCTAACTGTTTTGTGTATTTTTTGTAGAGACAGGGTTTCACCATGTTGCCCAGGCTGGTCTTGAACTCCTGAGCTCAAGGGATCTGCCCGCCTTGGCCTCCCAAAGTGCTGGGATTATAGGCATGAGCCACCACACCTGGTCTTTCTTCAGTTCTAACTCCTCTTTAACCAACACTGATATCTGGTCAGAGGCTCAATTAATTAGAAACCCACTGACATGGCCGGGCGCCGTGGCTCACACCTGTAATCCCAGCACTTTAGGAGGCCGAGGTGGGCAGATCACAAGGTCAGGAGATGGAGACCATCCTGGCTAACACAGTGAAACCCCGTCTCTACTAAAAATACAAAAAATGAGCTGGGCATGGTGGTCGGCACCTGTAGTCCCAGCTACTCAGGAGGTTGAGGCAGGAGAATGGCGTGAACCCGGGAGGTGATCCACCATGCTTTGCAATAAGAATATTTAAATAAATGTGAAAATATCCAGGTGGTATCCATTCCTCTCATTCTCTGACATCTAGTCTCTAGTCCTGGATGATCACTGAACTCAGAAAAGGCACTGGAAGCCCTGGAGTCAGAAAAACAAAAACAAAAACAAACTTCTGTTCTCTCCAAGCTGCACTCATTAAGAGAGAAATGAGGATTCATATTGCAGAAAGTTTTCTAACAAGGTTAAGCCTTGATTAACTGGAGAACTCCATGAGTCAGAACAAACTTGTTGGGACCTAGCGTGAGCTTTACCTGTAGTTGGAGCTCAGTGAATTCCCCTAAGATTATGGTTGAAATTGCACCACAGAAAGATCTCAGCCACTCACAGGTGCTTGTCGTCCCAGGGTCCTGTCTGCCCCAGCATTTCCTTTCTGCTTTTCTTCCCCTTTCTTGCATGAAGAGACATCTAGGCTGATAGGAAATGTGATGACTCATCTGACATCAGATCGAATCCTTTTTATTCGCCCTTCATGTCTGCCTCAGTCTCTGATCCTGGGAATAACCATGTGAAGTCCTGGGGATGTTTTGATTTCTCAGAAGACACACACAGATTGCAGTGGGCTTCTGATGATGTCAAGGTTGGATGCATGTGGCTGACTGATAGTTCTTTGTTTTCCACAATCCTTTGCCTAGAAAAAAGGAATCCAAGTGTGTTTTGACCATGCCGACCAGCAAGGGGCAGGGATTCTTTCACAGGGGCTTGTATCTCTGGCTGTGTGTGTTCACACCTTTCTTTAAAGGTAGGTTTCATTTCTGCTTTATCTTCTATTTCCTTTTTAGCTACATGTATTTACTCTCTTTTCTAGTTGTGCTTGAGAAGATACATTAATAAAAGATTCTGTGGTCTGCATAGGAACCACCACTGTTACAACTGCTAATTAATCTATTTGGTTTTTATGCGTTAGGTGTAACAAAAGATGAAATCTGAGGGGTACGGTGGGGAGGAGAGGACCATGAAACATAGTGCAAACCATATTTTATTTTATTTTTCCCAATGAAAATATAAGAAAAATGATACAGTTTTCTATTGATCTCTGCTGTGACTGTATTGAACTTATTTATTGGCAGTTATGTTTAATGTTTTTTCAAAGTGGTAATATATTTGTTAGCTGATATTATTACTCAGTCAATGAACTCTTCCATTTTGTAGGTAATTGTGTTCATTTGGGGAAACACATCACATGATTATGCTGAAACGTATCCCATGAGTAAGATCATTCATTTTAAAAGTTACAACTTAGAAATGAACCACTGCTGTTGTGCTGAATAAAATCACATTTTTATGCTGTTAGATTTGCAGGGACTTGCTTTTCAAGGCTGATGGAGGGTTTATCTGCTATAAAAAGTCTTCAAGAGGAAGAAAATGGGTAATGAGGATTATTTGTTGTCTGCCATGGAGAAATATGTTTATCATGATTAATTACGATGTCAAGAATGATGTTTTACCTTAAATTTGTCCTTCCTGCTAAAACCCTAGCATTTCAGTGTTTCCAAAGGCATTCGTCAGGCAACTCTTTCCATTTAGTAATTTAACAGAGATCTTTCCATTCGTGTTGCCTGATGAACTTTTCAATCCCTTTCCATTTTTTTTCCTTCAATGTATAAATCCCTTTGGGAAATTTGTGGCGTCCTACGTTAGGTATCAAATTTAAATTCTGTGAGGGAAAATGTAGAGGAGGTAGTAATGAAATCAATTATGTCAAATGAGGACAAGTAACCCCACTTTTAAGGTTTTCTTGGAAAAATACAAAGAGATATACATAAAGTTATTGTCTAAAATTTAGTGAATGAAAGTGCTATTATTTAAAAACCAATTTCAACTTTTAAAAATGTTTCAAGTGGCCGGGCGCAGTGGCTCACGCCTGTAATCCCAGCACTTTGGGAGGCCGAGGCAGGCGGATCACGAGGTCAGGAGATTGAGACCATCCTGGCTAACACGGTGAAACCTCGTCTCTACTAAAAATATAAAAAATTAGCTGGGCTTGGTGGTGGGCGCCTGTAGTCCCAGCTACTTGGGAGGCTGAGACAGGAGAGTGGCGTGAACCTGGGAGGTGGAGCTTGCAGTGAGCCAAGATTGTGCCACTGCGCTCCAGCCTGGGCAACAGAGTGAGACTCCATCTCAAAAAAAAAAAAAAAAAAAAAAAAAGTTTCAAGTAAATTTGCCTTAAAAGCCTTGCATTCTCAGAAATCTCCACAATAACTGAATTTCAAAGTTGATTTTTGTTTTATTTTAAGTTCTGTGGTATATGGGCAGGATGTGCAGGTTTGTTACACAGGTAAACGTGTGCCATGGTGGTTTGCTGCACAGATCAACCCATCACCTAGGTATTAAGCCCAGCATGCATTAGGTATTTTTCCTAATGCTCTTCCTCCCTGGACCCCCTCAAGAGGCTCTAGTGTGTGGTGTTCCCTTCCCTGTGTCCATGTGTTCTCATTGTTCAGCTCCCCCTTTAAGTGAGAACATGCAGTGCTTGGTTTTTCATTCCTGTGTTAGTTTGCTGAGGATAACGGCTTCAAGTTCCATCCATGTCCCTGCAAAGGACATGATCTTGTTCATTTTTATGGTTGCATAGTATTCCATGGTGCATATATACCACATTTTCTTTCGGTTTTTTTTTTTTTTTGAGACAGAGTATCGCTGTGTCGCCCAGGCTAGAGTGTAGTGGCGTGATCTTGTCTCATTTCAAGCTCACTTCAAGCCTCCCGGGTTCACACCATTCTCCTGCTTCAACCTCCCAAGTAGCTGGGCCTACAGGCACCCACCACCACACCCGGCTAAGTTTTTGTGTTTTTAGTAGACACGGGGTTTCACCGTGTTAGCCAGGATGGTCTTGATCTCCTGACCTCGTGATCTGCCTGCTTCGGCCTCCCAAAGTGCTGTGATTACAAGCGTGAGCCACTGCGCCCAGCCTATACCACATTTTCTTTATCCAGTCTATCATTGATGGGCATTTGGGTTGATTCCATGTCTTTGCTATTGTGAATAGTGCTGCAGTGAACATACACATGCATGTATGTTTATAATAGAATGATTTATATTCCTTTGGTATATACCCAGTAATGGGATTGCTGGGTCAAATGGTATTTCAGGTTCTAGGTCTTTGAGGAATCACCACATCATCTCCCACAATGGTTGAACTAATTTGCACTCTCACCAACAGCGTAAAAGCGTTCCTATTTCTCCATAGTCTCTCCAGCATCAACAGATTTCTTGACTTTTTAATTATTGCCATTCTGACTGGCGTGAGATGTTATTCATTGTGGTTTTGATTTGTGTTTCTCTAATGATTGGTGTTGAGCTTTTTTTCATGTTTCTTGGCCACATAAATGTCTTCTTTTGAGAAGTGTCTGTTGATGTCTTCAAAGTTGATTTTTTAAAAAAACATGACTTGCAAAGGCCATCATGAAATTACTAGTTATTTCAGTTTCCTTGGTGAAGATTCCCCAGCTAAGCGCCTTGCTGGTGTAGATACAGATGTTAGTTGATTCAGTATTTTAGACAAGAAAGGACAGGATTTTCCTGAATTACTGGAAAGGGTCTAGTGCCATCAGTAAGACGGCGAGTTACTTCAGTGGCATAAGCGAAGATTCCAAGCCTTGTGTCTACTCCTTTATATCTGCAGTGCCTTAGACTTTAAGAAATGCTCTGACCAACATAATTTTCTTTGATATTGCTCTAGTCCTGAAATTCAGGCATTACTCTTTTTATCTCCACTGTAAAGGTGAACAGCTGAGGCATAGAGGGTGGGGTGAGATGGGCACTGGTGGAGCATGCACAGGTGGGGACACCACCAGGATGCAGTCATGGGCTGGGACATCCACTCCCCACAGGGCCCGGGAAGAATTGCCTAGAATCTCTGCAGTGGCCAGTGGCCTGGCTGGCTTTAACTCTCCCCTCTGTTTGGCCTCACAGGTGGTGCGGGCTGTGCAACTGAGGAGAGGCTTTTCCACAAACTGTTTTCTCATTACAACCAGTTCATCAGGCCCGTGGAAAACGTTTCTGACCCCGTCACGGTGCACTTTGAAGTGGCCATCACCCAGCTGGCCAACGTGGTGAGTGCCATCTGATCAGAGCTTTCCCCAGCATTGTTACGCTTTTGCAGGCGGTAAATGAAGGAATTTTAGAAACACAGATAAATGCAGATCTACAGAGATCTGGCCCTTCAAAGCCATCCATTTGGGAGGCAGGCACTTTTCCCACCAATGCTGTACCTGTCTGTGTGAGGCAGTGTTTTTCCTTGAAGTGCTTTCAGAACCAGTTTATGAATCAAAAAGTTGCAGGGGGAGTGAAAGGCAGCTAACTTCATGGGGCACCCATTGTTCACCAGACGCCTGTTAACACTGCGTGGCCAACATCTTCATCTCACTGCTGAGGAAATGGAAGTTCAGTTAAGTGACTTTCCCAGGGTCACTTAACTATAACTATAAAATGGCAAAATTGAGATTTAAATCCAAAGCTCATGCCCTTTTCACTCCACAGTTAAAAAATTGCTTTAAGGCTGGGCGTGGTGGCTCACCCCTGTAATCCCAGCACTTTGGGAGGCTGAAGCAGGCGTATCCCTTGAACTGAAGAGTTCGAGACCAGCCTGAGCAACATAGCAAGCTCCTGTCTCTACAAAAATGCAAAAATTAGCCAGGTGTGGTGGCACATGCCTATAGTCCCTGCTACTAGGAAGGCTGAGGTGGGAGGATTGCTTGAGCCCAGGAGGTCAAGGCTGCAGTGAGCCAAGATTGTACCACTGCACTCCAGCCTGGGCAACAGAGCAGGGGAAAAAAAAATTGCTTTAAGTCTTCTATGTTATGAGAACGAAAAAAATGCAATTTTCATTTAGCCTTGGGGAAAAAAAAAAAGGATGGGAATTTGAGGATCTTAATTTAATTCCTTGCTACCGTGTTCAAGGGCAAGTAGGACTGGAGCTCGCTCTTTTGGATCATCTTTGCTCCCCCATTGCAGGGAGAGGGAGTGGCGAGGCCCGTACTCTTGAGTCAGCAAGGTCTGGGCTCCAGGGCTCAGACCAAATTCCAGGAAGATGCAGGCTTAAGAAGCAAGGGAGGTCTGAAGTGTCTCCAGAGAGGGGCTCTGGAGCGTTCTTGAGACTACAGCACGCGGAGGGGAGCCCTGCCCATCAAGTCAGCCCCAGCCATGGATAGTGAAGGGGCCTCCTTCCTCCCAGACTTTGCTCTATGGGTGAGATGGCAGTGACTCTTCTGGGTACACCTGGGGAAAGACCCTAATGACAGGCATGAGTCAGACCCCACCACATTCTCCAGTCCATACTTCCCAGTGGATGAAACCAACCCTGGCCCAGTCCTCTATCTGTGACCCAGGCTGGAAGTGTGCATGCACTGGCTGAAAAAAATAAAGCCAGATGTTTCCCCTTACCTGGATGCGCCCTCCCATCCTTTAGTGAGTATTTATTTGGTGCCTGTTCTAATCCCTTTCCCAACTCCAGTAGCTTTGTCCTGGTTCCTGGTCTCCTGCTGGGCTGGAAGCAGTTCTTGCTGTGTACTAGGTTGTTGTGAACTGAGAGCTGAACTGAGTTTCCTCTGAAGTCTGTGAGGGCCACCTCACTGCATGGCATCACTCCATAACCCTGCTGGACACGCCCTTGCAGGAGGTTATTCTGAAGATGGGGGTGAAATGGCTGGTAAATGCAGATTTTGGCATTTACATTTGGTTGCAAGTATCAGATATTAAAAGAAAACCCACAGCCTTTACAAAACAAAAAGTTTATTCCTTTCTTATGCAACAGAAATCTAAAGATTAACAGTCCAGGAGATTAATATCAGTCAGTTTCACGGTGTTAGTGGTTGCACATATATGTTCAGTTGTCCAGGTTATGCACCGCACAGCTCCAAGGAATGTCATTCCAACGGACCGTGATTCTAAACGTATAAACCAGATGAGGCAGCAGTGACCAAGGTTCCTTCCTTCTTTCTATTTCACTACCCTTTGTGCGTTCCTTCTTCCCTCAGTGTTGCTTCATGGTTCAAGATAACTGATGTATTCCCATCCTCACATTCACATTCTTTGCAAGAAACAGAAGGAAGAGAGGAAAAGGGCAAAGTGTACATCCTAGACTTCTGTGACTTCCGTAAGAGTTGTTGCTTTCCATCTCATTGACTACCTCCAGCTGCAAAGCAGACTTGGAACTGCAGGTTTTTACAATTGAATTTTTATTTCTTGAAATCATTATAGATTGACATGCAGTTGTAAGAAATAACAAAGGATCCCTTGTAGACTCTGCCCGTTTCCCCCACTAATCTGCCCTCCATTCTGAAATCTTCTCCTTTCAACAATGTCATACGTAACTGGAATCATAGAGTAGGTAAACTTGTGGGACTGGGTTTTTCCCTCAGCATCATCTTTAGAGATTCCTCTGAGTCGCTGAGTATATCAGTAGTTCATTCCTTCTTGTTGCTGAGTAGTACTCCAGGTTGCTTTTTTTGTTTGCTTGTTTTGTTTGTTTTTGAGACAGTCTCACTCTCACCCAGGCTGGAATGCAGTGGCGTGATCTCGGCTCACTGCAACCTACGCCTCCCGGGCTCAAGTGATTCTCCTGCCTCAGACTCCCAAGTAGCTGGGATTGCAGGCATGCACCACTACGCCCGGCTAATTTTTGTGTATTTAGTAGAGATGGGGTTTCACCATGTTGGCTAGGCTGGTCTCGAACTCCTGACCTCAAGTGATCTGCCCACCATGGCCTCCCAAAGTGGGGATTACAGGTGTGAGCCACCACACTTGGACTACGATGTTTTATTTAACCATTAACTTGTTAAAGGACATTTGAGCTGATTCCAGTTTTTGGTCTATTGCAAATAAAGCTACTGTGAACATTTGTGTACAGGTTTTGGTGTAAATATAAACCTCCATGTCTCTGGGATAAATGCCCAGGAGTGCAATAGCTGTGTGTTGTCAGGTGAACTTGGGGTGGCGGAGAGAAGTGGCACAGCCAGGAAACTTTGTTGCCCCTCCCTTCTGGAGGGCCTCGGGGCCCTCTGTCTGATCCCCAGCTTGGCTCTGGAGCACCAGGGCTCTACCTGGAAGTGTGTTTGTGTCATGCAAAATGACCTTGGCCAGAAAGTTTTCTGGTTTCTTTCAGTGCAGGAGCAAGACCAAGTGCCCCTCGGAGGGATCCAGTGTTTGTGCTGGCCTGGTATATCTGAAATGACAAAGATAAAGCTTTGGTGTAATGCAGCCCACTTGGCCTTTCTGATCCGAGTCTCCGAGTCTGCTGCTGCTCCAGAAATGAGTCCATTTGAAATCATAACTCAAAGCCTTTGATGCAGCTGCCATGTCAATGAATTGATTTTTCCAAGAAGGAGGTACAGGTTGATGGTGCCAGGAATGGAGTTGATGCTGTGGGTCTTTGGATTCCTCCAGCAGGGACGTGTGATAGCAGTACCATGCCCATTGGTGGGATCTGGAATTGGATGGAGAGAGTATGACTTGCCAGACAGGTCCTGCTCCATAGGGTCAGATAACATCTCGCAAGGTGTCCACACCCCCATGGGCCATGTCCATAACACTTGGAGCTTCTCTGAGCCTGTGGAAGTGAGGCTGTGGAGTTGGCTATTGCCAAATGATCTCAGCTTTCTGAACACAGTGTGCTCATTCAGAGACAAAGCAGGCTTTGGAGGGCAGTTAGGACTTATACCCTCACCCCCGAGGCCTTCCTGGAACCGAGACTGCAGAGCTAGTCCATTCCTGACCAGCAGTGAGTGGATTTATGGACACAGCCCCTGCTGGACTCTGCAGATTGCAAGGGGACGCTCATCACCAGAAGGCACTGACCGCAGGCTTGTGTAATTGTAAAGCCATGAATTGGTTGACCAATAGATAAGTACAGATAATTTCTTTGCTTCCTGGAACTCACAGGAACCCATGACTGCAACTCCTTTGCTGATCTTTCAAACCCCGGGGCTTACCCTGTCTTGTCACAGGCCCATTTGAAAGAGGAAGCCTGGCAGGGTTTCTGTTTAGAGTTTTCCAGGAGGGGCAGCAGTGGGGATGGAGTAGGGGAGAAGAGAACTGCAGGGCAGCCACTGGCCCAGGGCAAGCTGGTGTCTGAGCCTGACCACGGCTCCCTCGGCCACCACCACTGAGCTCATTTACTCTGGAGGGTGCCTGGGTGTCTTGGGAAGCAAGGCTGACTGAGGAAGACTTGTGAATCTACTGCTGGCCACTGGGGGACATACCACAGCCACCAGGCTGCTGGGCCGTAAGGCTGCTCGAGGTGCCAGATGTGTCTTTGGTAGTTCTCCCACTGAGAGGTGGTAGCTTAGGAACTCATTACATTTGGAATGCCACCTGGAATGCTCTTCCTCCACACAGCCCTGTCTGTCTTCTGGTCATTTAAGTATCTGCTTAAACATTACCTCCTCAAAGAAGCCGCCTTTGCCCATCCCATCTAAAATAGATATGTGTGTTTGAGATTATGTGCACGTGTGTGCATGAGCGTGTGTGTGCATGAGTGTGTGTGCATGTACACCAGCGTGTGAGAGCATGTGTATGAGTGTGACTGTGCCTGAGTGTATGAGTGTGTCCATGTGCATGAGTGTGTGTGTGCATGAGTGTGCACCAGTGTATGAGTGTGAGTGGGCATGTATGAGTGTGTAAGTGTGTATGAGAGTATATGTGTGAGAGTACGAATGTGTATGAGAATTCATGAGTGGGTATGTGAAAGTGTGCATGAGTGCGTGTGTTCATGAGTGTATGTGAGAGTGTGTGCATGAGTGTGTGTGTGCATGAGTGTGTATGAGAGTACCATGAGTGTGTGTGCACATGTGAATATGTGTGCATGAGTGTGAGTGTGCATGAGTATGTGCGTGTATGAGTGTGCATGAGTGTGTGTGCATATGTGTGTGTTTGTGTCCACACATGGACCATTCCCTCCTCCTTTATCCTCATAGGACTTACCACTCTCTTATGTTATAGTATAGATCTATTAGTAATTTTATGTCTCCTCATCTAACAGCTAAGACACATGAAGGCAGGACATTTTCCCATCCTCTTACTGCTGTATTCCCAATATTTATAGAGCACGTAGTGGTTACTCAATAAATATTTGTGTAGTGAATGATCGAAGTGGTGGCTTGGCTGGGGATGAGTAGCAGCTGCCAGCTGGAAATTCCATGGTGGCAGAGGATTTTTTTTTTTTTTTAATTTTTGAGATGGAGTCTCGCTCGGTTGCATGGGCTGGAGTGCAACGGCGTGATCTTGGCTCACTGCAACCTCCATCTCCAGGGTTCAAGCACTTCTCCTGCCTCAGCCTCCCAAGTAGCTGGGATTACAGGCACCTGCCACCACACTCGGCTAATTTTTTGTATTTTTTAGTAAAGACGGGGTTTCACCATGTTGGCCAGGGTGGTCTCAAACTCCTGACCTCAGGTGATGCACCCGCCTCGGCCTCCCAGAATGCTGGGATTGCAGGTGTGAGCCACTGTGCCCGGCCGACTGAGGCTGACATTTTAAGGTAGAATCCCAGGGCAGGGGTCTCAGGACTCAGAGCCTGGAGAGCCCTGAGGCACAGTCGGGGATGGGAGGCGTTTAGGGAACAGGCAAAAACACTGCAGGATTGGAATCCCCACCACTATCTGCAGCATCTCCCTCCCTCCTTCCTGCTGTCGCTCTTCTTTTCTTTCCTTTCTTTCCTTTCATGGAACTAGAAAACTTGATGGGCTGCAGAGATCAGAAGCACTTCACAGAAGAGGTGAGACTTAAATCAGCTATGAAAGAGTTTAAAGCCACATTTCCTCTCAAAATCCACAGGGCTGGAGCCAGATGTGAAAATGCTGCATTTCTGCTTGCATGCTGAATGCTTTCACACGTTGCCTTTAAGTCTTCTTTCACTGGCATGACTATGTCAGATTTGGTTCTTTTTAGTTGTAATTTTTGCTCTAAGACTCACCTCTATGGCAAGCACATTTGAGGCTAAAAATATTATTTCTTCTTCCCAGGATGAAGTAAACCAGATCATGGAAACCAATTTGTGGCTGCGTCACGTATGTGCCTATATCATCTGTTGGCTTAATGATGTCAAATGGATAAAACCCACAAGCACTACCTTGTTCCATCTCCAACTGGTTTTAGAATATAAAATATTATCCTCTAGGTCATCTCCAAAGCCTAAAGTGCAGCTCTGGTAATAGCTGACTTGATGCACGCTTCACAGGTGCAGACACCTAGTGACAGAGGTCCTTCTGACATAGAGATTTCCGTCCTTCCTGGTTGCTGCTCTCAGATCTTCCACTTTTCTGTAACTTGAGCTCCCGGGTCTGATGCTTGCCTGCTCTTTGATCCCTGCTTGACCAGGCTTGGAGAAGTCAGTAGCTGAGCTTGGGAGCATGTACATGAGATTCCCAGCAGCTGGTTTTATCAGTCGTACCCCTTCTTCCTTAGGAAAGTCTTGGAGGGGTGCAGTGGCTCACACCTGTAATCCTAGCACCTTGAGAGCCTGAGGCAGGAGGATCACCTGAGGTCAGGAGTTCGAGACCAGCCTGGCCAACATGGTGAACCCTTGTCTCTAATAAAAATACAAAATTAGCCTGGCGTGGTGGTGGGCGCCCCAAACCCAGCTACTCGGGAGGCTGAAGCAGGAGAATTGCTTGAACCAAGAGGCGGAAGTTGCAGTGAGCTAAGATTGCGCCACTACGTTACCAGCATGGGCAACAGAGCAAGACTCTGTCTTGAAAAAAAACCAAAAAACAGAAAGGAAGTCTTAATCATTTATACAGATTTTGTTAAAAAAAATCCAAAACTTATCATCGTGCCCTTGAACATTTTGATATTAGAAATGGGTTGCCACTCCAGTGTGAGTGTTGTACCTCATGGAATATGGAAGTTAAGCCTAAAACTTTGACCAGCTAACTAATAGTCAATACATAATTATCTAATGAAATATTTGCCTGAATCAGCTTAGCTATTTAGCTCCCTGTTCCCCATGGATAAAATTGTCCGGATTTTGATAGAAACCAGTGCATTCTTCAAATAAGAATGTATTCTTTTTACTTTTTTTTTTTTTTTGAGATGGAGTCTTGTTCTGTCGCCCAGGCTGGAGTGCAGTGGTGCGATCTTGGCTCACTGCAAGCTCCGACTCCCAGGTTCACACCATTCCCCTGCCTCAGCCTCCCGAGTAGCTAGGACTACAGGCGACTGCCACCATGCTCGGCTGCTTTTTTTTTTTTTTTTTTTTGTATTTTTAGTAAAGGTTTCACCGTGTTAGCCAGGATGGTCTCGATCTCCTGACCTCGTGATCTGCCCACCTCAGCCTCCCAAAGTGCTGGGATTACAGGTGTGAGCCACCGTGCCCAGCCGAATGTATTCTTTTTTGAAAAACAACTGTTGAACCATCATAAAGTTAACATTGGAAGAAAAATATTAAGAAACGATTTTTTTTTTTCCAGATAGTCTCACTCTGTCACCCAGGCTGTAGTATGGTGACATGATCTCAGCTCACTGCAAACTCTGCCTCCCAGGTTTAAGTGATTCGCCTGCCTCAGCCTCCTGACTAGTTGGGACTACAGGCGCGTGCCACCACACCCAGCTAATTTTTGTATTTTTAGTAGAGACGGGGTTTCACTATGTTGGCCAGGTCTTGAACTCCTGACCTCAAGTGATCTGCCCGCCTTGGCCTCCCAAAGTGCTGGGATTACAGGCATGAGCCACCGTGCCTGGCCAGAAAGTTATTAAGAAATTTTAAAAGCCGATTTCTATTTATTTTAGATCTGGAATGATTATAAATTGCGCTGGGATCCAATGGAATATGATGGCATTGAGACTCTTCGAGTTCCCGCGGATAAGATTTGGAAGCCCGACATTGTTCTCTATAACAAGTATGGGTCTCTGACCACTGTAGCCTCTTTCCAAAGCTGCTGTTGGTGTATTCTGGCCTATAGCAAAGGGAGTGTTACTAATGGTGTCTGACTTGCTTTGCAGTGCTGTTGGTGACTTCCAAGTCCAAGGCAAGACAAAAGCTCTTCTTAAATACAATGGCATGATAACCTGGACTCCACCAGCTATTTTTAAGAGTTCCTGCCCTATGGATATCACCTTTTTCCCTTTTGATCATCAAAACTGTTCCCTAAAATTTGGTTCCTGGACGTATGACAAAGCTGAAATTGATCTTCTAATTATTGGATCAAAAGTGGATATGAATGATTTTTGGGAAAACAGTGAATGGGAAATTATTGATGCCTCTGGCTACAAACATGATATCAAATACAACTGTTGTGAAGAGATATACACAGATATAACCTATTCTTTCTACATTAGAAGATTGCCGATGTTTTACACAATTAATCTGATCATCCCCTGTCTCTTTATTTCATTTCTAACCGTGTTGGTCTTTTACCTTCCTTCAGACTGTGGTGAAAAAGTGACGCTTTGTATTTCAGTCCTGCTTTCTCTGACTGTGTTTTTGCTGGTCATCACAGAGACCATCCCGTCCACATCTCTGGTGGTCCCACTGGTGGGTGAGTACCTGCTGTTTACCATGATCTTTGTCACACTGTCCATCGTGGTGACTGTGTTTGTGTTGAACATACACTACCGCACCCCAGCCACACACACCATGCCCAGGTGGGTGAAGACAGTTTTCCTGAAGCTGCTGCCCCAAGTCCTGCTGATGAGGTGGCCTCTGGACAAGACAGGTGGCACAGGCTCTGATACAGTGCCCAGAGGCCTTGCCAGGAGGCCTGCCAAAGGCAAGTTTGCAAGCCTTGGGGAACCCAGACATCTTAAAGAATGCTTCCACTATCACAAATCAAATGAACTTGCCACCAGCAAGAGAAGATTGAATCATCAGCCGTTACAGTGGATGGTAGAAAATTGGGAGCACTCGCCTGAAGTTGAAGATGTGATTAACAGTGTTCAATTCATAGCGGAAAACATGAAGAGCCACAATGAAACCAAGGAGGTAAATGTGTGTTCCCTCCGCCCAGCCAGCTTGCACCCTTCGCAGCCTATGGGCACTCTGGAGGCACAGTCAGACCTTCAGTGTGAGTGTTGTTCCTGAGACGGTCCTGCAGCCTTGCTCTGAGACCTGGCTTTGTTATTGTGTGGTTATGGGTGGACTGACAGGGTCACACCTGCCAGTGGAGTGGGGTCAGGTGCAACAGCCCTAGAGCAAATCTCCACCTCCAGAAATGTGAACTCAAGTAAAATTTGCTTAAAATAAACATTCAGGGCTGGGCACGTGGCTCACCCCTGTAATCCTAGCACTTTGGGAGGCCAAGGTGGGCAGATCATCTGAGGTCAGGAGTTTGAGACCAGCATGACCAACATGGGGAAACCCCGTCTCTGCTAAAAATATAAAAATTAACCAGGCATGGTGGCACAGGCCTGTAATCCCAGCTACTTGGGAGGTTGAGGCAGGAGAATCTCTTGAACCCAGGAGGTGGAGGTTACAGTGAGCCGAGATCACACCCCTGCACTCCAGCCTGGATGATAGAGCGAGACTCCATCTCAAAAATAAAAATAAACAAACAAACTCAGGGCAACCTCAGTTAATGAAACCAAGAACCTCAGCCTCAGCAACATAGCGAGACTCTGAACTACCAAAAAAAAAAAAAAAAAAAAATTAGCAGGCGTGTTGGTGCATACCTGTAGTCCCAGCCACTCAAGAGGCTGAGGTGGGAGGATTGCTTGAGCCCAGGAGTTTGAGGCTGCAGCCTGGGAGATAGACGACAGATCAGGGTCCTGTCTCAGAAAAAAAAAAAAAAAAAAAAAAAGCCCCTGCACAAGAAACAGCGGCAAATAAAAAGGTAGAAAGAGAAAAGCTGCCCCAGAGGGAAGGAGAAATGAGTTCAGAGTAGCGTGCAGCCTGGGGGTGCTGGGAGATGTGGGAGAGGGCAGGAGTGCTTTCGCTCCGGCAGCTCTGGCTCCACTTGTCCTACTTGAGAGGGATTTAGGTGCTGGTGAAATGAGCCCCAGGGATATTTTTAGCATTCACGTACTCTGCTCCTGCTGCCCAGAGTCTAACTATAGCAGCATGTGCCTCCCTCAGCCTCCAAAGACAGAGCTCAAGAGAATCATGCCAATTTCCCACAGCATGTGGGTGACTAGCGGAGGGCATCTGAAACTTGGGCCAGGTGTCTGGGTTTGACTTCAGACTGCAGCTGCTGGCAGCCATCACTCCTAGTGAAAGGATACTGTGAGACCGAAAGTCCACCCTGTTGGTGTAGGAGGAGGATGCTGTGAATGGCTGTCATGCGGACGTGTCACGGGACAAGAGAGCCCAGAAAAATTCACCTTCATACAATTTAAAAGAAGACCCTCTCTCTACAAAAAATACAAAAATTAGCAGGGCATGGTGGCGCATGGCTGTAATTGCAGCACTTTTGGAGGCCAAGGCTGGGGAATTGTTTAAGTAAGGCCAGGAGGAGTTTGAGACCAGCCTTGGCAACATATTGAGACCCCGTTTCTAAAAAACAAATTTTAAAAAATTTGCCAAGTCTGTTGTCCCAGCTACTTGTGAGGCTAAGGCTGGAGGATTGCTTGAGCCCAGGAGTTCCAGGTTTCAGTGAGCCGCAATCACACCACTGCACTTCAGCCTGGGCAACACAGCAAAATCCTGTCCCTAACATTTTTTTTTTTTTTTTTTTTAATTTAAGAAACAGCTGCTGTTGACTTAATCACTACCAGTTAGGGCTCTCAAGACACAAGTACAGAGACAGTGGCAGAAGGCTGGAGGGTCAGGAACTGGGAGAAATACAACCAGCTCTCCATGGCCAGCATCCCTTTGAGGGCTGGAGGGCTGCCTATTCCTGATAAAGTGGTTCTCAATCATACCCCATGTCCTGCACCCCCAGCAGTACCTGCTGCCTCAAACTCATTCCCCAGATTTGCCATGGAGCCAGACTACCGAGCGTTGCAAAGCATGAGTCTAGCTCTCTGAGCAGCTGCTTCTCAGTAGTGTCTCTTGCAGTTGGGAAAGTCCCTGGGGACCCACGGAGTCAGGGCTTTGCCGCAGACTCTGCTGTCTGAGGCTCTCACAGAGGCTGTGCATTCGCCCTCTGCGGACGAAACAAAATGTCTTATGTGTCCTATACAGGAAACATGGATTCACCAAATACCAATATTTGCTTTATTTTTATTTTTATTTATTTTTCGAAATGGAGTCTTACTCTGTCACCCATGCTGGAGTGCAATGGTGTGATCTTGGTTCGCTGCAACCTCCACCTCCTGGGTTCAAGCGATTCTCTTGCCTCAGACTCCCGAGTAGCTAGGACTACAGGCACATGCCACCACGCCTGGCTAATTTTTGTATTTTTAGTAGAGATGGGGTTTCACCATGTTGGCCAGGCTGGTGTCAAACTCCTGACCTCAGGTGATCTGCCTGCCTGGCTAATATTTGCTTTAAAATGTGCCAGAGAAACCTTCTTTGAAAAAGAAGCAGCTTATTGATGAAACAACGCGTGTTTCTTATGATTTTGGTTTTTTAAAACAGCTCTTAATTTTTGTTTGCATTTCAGGTAGAAGATGACTGGAAATACGTGGCCATGGTGGTGGACAGAGTATTTCTTTGGGTATTTATAATTGTCTGTGTGTTTGGAACTGCAGGGCTATTTCTACAGCCACTACTTGGGAGCACAGGAAAATCTTAAAATGTATTTTCCTTTATGTTCAGAAATTTACAGACACCATATTTGTTCTGCATTCCCTGCCACAAGGAAAGGAACGCAAAGGCTTCCCACGCAAGTCCCCCATCTGCTAAAGCTGATGGCTAGATGGAAAAAGAGGACTTTCTTGCACCTCAGGAGGCGGAATATCCTCCAGTGTAGCACAGGGGGAGAAGTGAGAAGTGTTATGACATTAGTGCCCAGATTGGGCAGCACCCACGGCTACAGTATCAGGTCAGTTTTCTCATGTCTGTGTGTTTGGCTTCCCAGGACACAGATGACTTACAATACAGCCTAACTATGTAATTGACATCAAGCCACACTAAGAAGTTCTGCTTTACCTCCAGCGGTTGCTGTTTCTCAGTATTATGACATATGACAGGTGAACTCCGGGAATTGGACCTTGCAACATTTGTGAACTGTTTACAATACTTGTGAACTATTGCATCCTTGATTTCTTGTGCATGTCTCTGTGATGTAGCTCACCCCCCTCAGCATTATTTGATATAGATTGTTTGTTTTTTTTTTTAAAAAAAAAACAGTTTGGCCAGGTGTGGTGGCTCACGCCTGTAATCCCAGCACTTTGGAGGCTGAGGAAGGAGGATTGCTTGAGCCCAGGAATTCGAGACCAGCCTGGGCAACATAGGGAGACCCTGTGTTACAAAATTAAAAACATTAGCCACTGTGGTGTTTTGCACCTGTGGTCCTAGTTACTTGGGAGGCTGATGTGGGGAGGATTGCTTGAGCTTGGGAGGTTGAGGCTACAGTGAGCCATGATCACACCACTGCACTCCAGCCTGGGTGACAGAGTGAGACTCTGTCTCAAAAATAAATCAATAAATAAAAACTACCAGATAGTCAGAGTCTTTCTCAACAGGCTGTATTTGCTTAGCATTCATCTGGCAAGAAGCTTGAGGGGAAACCCAGCGCTGTGCTAGGCATTGCAAGGGTGACAGCAGTGGGTTCTTTCACACAAGTGCTTGTAGCTTCTTAGGAAAAGTAGTAGCTATGAAGACTGCAGGCCAGATGTCATCTGGGGAATGTCACTAGAGCAACCAGAATAGGAGAACATGACGAGACATGGCCAGGGAAACCTAAAGCAACCCTTTTGTTGTGGGTTGGAAAAAGTTGTCTTTCTAGTCTTTTTAATTTTTTTTTTTTTTTTGAGACACTGTCTTGCTGCGACACCCAGGCTGGAGTGTAATGGCTCAATCTCGGCTCACTGCAACCTCTGATTTCCCCGGTTCAAGTGATTCTCCTGCCTCAGCCCCCCCGAGTAGCTAGGACTACAGGTGTGTGCCACCACGCCCAGCTAATTTTTGTATTTTTAGTAGAGACAGGATTTCACCATGTTGGCCAGGCTGGTCTCGAACTCATGACCTCAAGTGATCCACCCGCCTCAGCGTCCCAAAGTGCCAGGATTTACAGGCATGAGCCACCGCGCCCAGACGTCTAGTCTTTTTTCATCAACAGTTTTCATTTCTTCATTGTACTGATATTGAAAATAAAGTTATTTCTTTTCTTTTTTTTTTGAGACAAAGTTTCACTCTTGTTGCCCAGGCTGGAGTGCAATGGCGCGATCTGGGCTCACTGCAACCTCTGCCTTGCGGGTTCAAGCGATTCTCCTGCCTCAGCCTCCTGAGTAACTGGGATTACAGGCATGTGCCATCATGCCCAGCTAATTTTATATTTTTAATAGAGATGGGGTTTCTCCATGTTGATCTGGCTGGTCTCAAACTCCTGATCTCAGGTGATCTGCCTGCCTCGGCCTCCCAAAATGCTGGGATTATAAGCGTGAGCCACAGCGCCTGGCCTAAGTTATTTCTTTTTTAAAATTTTCATTTAGGTTTTTAGTTCTAAGTTGGGTCCAATGCCACATGCATATTTATTCTATAAGGAATTATAATCTTGGAGCTTTTGGAGCAATTCCTTTTCTGAGAGGGAGAAGCTTGGGAATTCTGTTTTATCATACTCTGATTATCTTCTTATTTGTCGTAGAAATACTGTAACACTTTTAAACATGTATTTTAAGGCTGAAAACAATAAATCAAATCTAGCAAAGGAAATAATTTCATTTGTGCCTTTTCCCTTCTAGTCTTTGTCTGTATGCAAACACTTCAATTTTACCTTGCAATGCCGTTTCCTTAAAACATAATATCAGCAACATTCTCCTTTACAGAGTCTTGAAGTATAATTTTTATGATGGCATAATTCACATTGTGTTGGTACATCATAATTTTTATGACTACCATGTGAATTCTTCTTTGTCTTTTTTCTGCTGGGGCTTGAGGTTCTCTGTAGGACATTAGGCAGAGGTCTTGAATTTGAATGACTCTATTTTATTTTTTATTCTTTCTTTATTTTTTTGAGACAGACTCTCACTCTGTCATCCAGGCTGGAGTGCAGTGGCACGGTGCCGGCTCATTGCAACCTCCTCCTCCCGGGTTCAAGCGATTTTCCTGCCTCAGCCTCCTGAGTAGCTGGGATTACAGGGGCCTGCACCATGCCTGGCTAATTTTTATACTTTTAGTAGGGATGGAGTTTTGCCATGTTGGCCAGGCTAGTCTCGAACTCCTAACCTCAAGTGATCCACCCGCCTCAACCTCCCAAAGTGCTGGGACTACAGGCATGAGCCACCGCACCCAGCCTGAATGACTCTATTTTAGAGCATTTTTATTCCCTGTAATGTTGGTGACTGTAGTACCTACCTTTTATCTTCCTGTCTTTATAGAGGATTGGTTGTTACACAATACTTTATTTTTTATTCCCAAGCCCAATCAATATTTAATTTCATTTACCTTTTTTTAACTGTGGTAAAATCATGTAATGTAAAATTTCCTATCTTAGCCATTTTTAAGCATCCAGTTCAATGGTATTAAATGCCTTCTTTTTTGTTTTTAAGATGGAGTATTGCTCTGTCACCAGGCTGGAGTGCAGTGGCACAATCTCTGCTCACTGCAACCTCCACCTCCAGGGTTCAAGTGATTCCCCTGCCTCAGCCTCCCAAGTAGCTGGGACTACAGGCACGCACCACCACGCCCGGCTAATTTTTTGTATTTTAGTAGAGACGGGGTTTCATCATGTTGGCCAGAATGGCCACTCTGGGTACCTCATATAAGTGGAATCATATTGTGTTTGTTCTTTTGTGACTGGTTTATTTCACATAGTGTAAACAGCTTCAAGGTGCATCTATATCGTAGCATGTGTCAACATTTCTTTCCTTTTCAAGGCTGAATAATACAGTGTCATGTGTATTTACTGAACTTTATGTATCCATTCACCTGTCAATGGACACTTGGGTTGCTTCTACCTTTTGCCTGCTGCCATGAACTTGGGCTTACAAATAATTCTGAGTTGCTGCTTTCAGTTATTTTAGGTATACACTCAGAAGTGAAATTGCTGGATCAGATAGTTATTCTATTTTTTAATTTTCAATTTTTGTGGGTAAATAGTACTTGTATATATTTATGGGTTATGTGAGATATTTTTATATAGGTGCTCAATGTGTAATAATCACATTGGTGATTATTATAAATGGGGTGTCCGTTACCTCAAGCATTTGTCCTTTGTGTTACAATCTAATTATACTCTTTTAGTTATTTTTAAATGTACAATTAAATCATATTTTACTAGTCACCCTGTTGTGTTAGCAAATACTAGATCTTACTCATTCTTTCTATTTCTTTGTACCCATGGTTATTCTATTTTTAATTTTCTGAGGAATCATTATACTGTTTTCCACAGGGCTGCACCATTTTACATATTCCCACCAGCAGTGCACAAGGGTTTTGATTTCTGGGCATCCTCACCAACACTTGTTATTTTCTGGGGTTTTTGGCAGTTGCCATCCTAATGGGTAAGAGGTGATGTCTCATGGTGGTTTTGTTTTGTGTTTCCCTAATGATTAGCAATGTTAAGCATTTTTTCATGTGCTTACCGGCCATTTGTATATCTTCTTTGGAGAAATGTCTATTTAAGTCCTTCACCCATTTTAAAAATCAGGTTATTTGTGGCCTTGCGTTGTGGTGCACGCCTGTAATCCCATCACTTTGGGAGGCCGAGGCAGGCAGATCACAAGGTCAAGAGATCGAGACCATCTTGGCCAACATGGTGAAACCCCATCTCTACTAAAAATACAAAAATTAGCTGGGCATGATGGTGCACACCTGTAGTCCCAGCTACTTGGGAGGCTGAGGCAGGAGAATCACTTGAACCCGGGAAGTGGAGGTTGCAGCGAGCAGAGATTGTGCCACTGCACTCCAGCCTGGCGACAGAGTGAGACTCCATCTCAAAAAATTAAAAAAAATCAGTTTATTTGTTTTTTGAGTTGTTGAGTTGTAGGAGTTCTTGATATGTTCTGTATATTAATTGCCCAGCAGATATAAAAACAAGACTTTCGGCCGGGCGTGGTGGCTCACGCCTGTAATCCCAGCACTTTGGGAGGCCGAGGTGGGCGGATCACAAGGTCAGGAGATCGAGACCATGGTGAAACCCCGTCTCTACTAAAAATACAAAAAATTAGCTGGGCACAGGGGCGGGCACCTGTAGTCCCAGCTACTCGGGAGGCTGAGGCAGGAGAATGGCGTGAACCCAGGAGGCGGAGCTTGCAGTGAGCCGAGATTGCGCCACTGCACTCCAGCCTGGGCGACAGAGCGAGACTCCGTCTCAAAAAAACAAAAAAACAAAAAAACAAAAAAAACAAGACTTTCAAGAATTGCATTGCAGCCAGGTGCGGTGGCTGATGCCTGTAATCCCAGCACTATGGGAGGCTGAAGTGGAGGGATTACCAGAGTCCAGGAGTTTGAGACCAGCCTGGGCAACATGATGAAACCCCGTCTCTACAAAAAATACAAAAATTAGCTGGATGTGCTGGCACCTGCAGTCCCAGCTACTCATGAGGCTGAAGTGGGAGGATTACTTGAGGCCAGGAGGTCAAGGTTGCAGTGAGCTATGATCATGCTATTGCATTCAGCCTGGGCAACAGAATGAGACCCTGTCACAAAATAAAACAAATAAAATAGAAAAAGGAACTGCATCGCAGGAAGATGGGAGGAGAGTGCTCCCAGCCAGGGTCAAAGCAAACCCCATCCTGACTTCTTAACACATACCTTTCTACTTGAGCATGCCTTAGACTGCTCAGTTCAGCTTTCCAGAAGTTGCTCAGTGACCCTTAGGGGAGAGAGAATCTTGAACTTACAAGTAAACAAACTAGCAACATAGTTTTAAGAAGAAATGAACTGAGCATTGGGAGGGAAAAAGGGGAAATCACAGCATTTGTTCAGAAGAACATATGAAAGCGTGGATTGAAAATGTATAAAGGGGCATGAAGGGAGTAAAAAAAAGGATCTCTTTGTTAATTGAGATTTTTAGCTTTTATTTTTATTTTTATTTTCTTTTGAGCAGGAGTTTTGCTCTTGTCACGCAGGCTGGAGTGCAGTGGTGCGATCTTAGCTCACTATAACCTCCACTTCCTGGGTTCAAGCGATTCTTCTGTCTCAGACTCCCTAGTAGCTGGCATTACA